CACTGGGAGATGTAACGAGCCTAACGAGCAGTGATAGTCCTAAATAATTCTTTTTTCTTCTAAATAATTCTTTTTTCTTTTTTCTGTAACCACTCCATTTTATTCTACTTCCTTTCAAAAATGCAAATTGCATATCACGAGGGTCAGTCTCATCAATACAGTAAACAAAGATAAGATCAGTGTGATGCTCATCTCTACTCGGATGTATTCAAAGATCAGATGGAAGCAGATGATGAGCTCTTCGCTATGATTTTCAGAAGCACTGCTTTCCAGGGAATGTAGTGTTGCTTTCACCCTCTGTGCACTGAGCTGAATTACGGAGCAGATACTTCAATGGAGCCAGCCAGCAGAACAGGACAGGTTGCTCTGCCCTTACCAGTATTCACCAATGACTGTGCCAACCATAGACTTTATCAAAAGCAACCTGGTATTTACCTCCAGGTCAATAATTGAAATAATGGATAGCCTCTTTCCTAGTAACGCCAACACAAATAAGCCAGGATTTCACAGAGGGATTTTTTTTTTTAAACGATCTACAAGTAAATCACTTAAATTGTTATAAAGTAAATGTAAATAACATTTTAAGAATAATATTGTTCAGATGGAAAACATAAAGGTAAATGTGAAATATGCTGAAACGAGATTAGACTTTCTTTGACTCCAAGCCGACTGCTGGTTAACCTATTCATTACACTGAAGCAGTGAAGTAAAAATTATTTCTGAGGAAAGGAAGTTACTTCTCCTCATTTTGTGCTCCAGTCAAAAAATTTGGCTCTGCAACCACAGCTGTTTCTTTTAGAAACTAAAGAGCTGAGAAAAATAGACCAAGTAGAACACAGTTCTGATTTCAATTGCAAATATTTAGTAAATTAAAGAGCGCCTGCAGGTTTTCATTGCTTTTGCATTGGATAGTCTTCATTGTTTCAGAGAAAACTCAGTCAAAAAATAGTGAGATAGAGCTAACCTATCTAGGTGCCACAATCCTTACAACTAAACTTCTATTCACTTATATGAAACATGTTATATGCGGACACGGGCTATGTGACGCAGAGCTGTCACCCAAAAGGACGCTCCGGAGAGAACTGAGAAGCAACAAGAAATTGTTGATAGCACTGGTGCTTTCTTACTGGATTCAAACAGACTTCAGACATACCTGTTCTCAAAATGATAAAATTCCATGCTAAAAAAGTATGGCAGTAAAACAAGAATGAAGAAGAAGGAAAAAAAAACATAATAGAAATACAAAACAAATATAGAATCAATTGAAAAACCTGTGGTGGCAAAATGAAAAGGTTCTGTTGAAGGCAGGCAATTGTAAGTTTGATGTGTCAGCATAATTCCTTGATGATGTTACTGCTTTATAGCCTCTTTTAACTGGGCCATGTCAACATGGAGAAGTATTCACATGGAAATAATTATCAAACAAATTAAAATCTAAATAGTTTCAATTAATTGTGTGCTTCTGTTTTCCAGACTGTGCTTCAGTGCCCTGAGGGCCTGACTAAAGGAGAGTATGAGCTAACTTTTCTCTATTGGTCTTTCATTGGTGTCAGTACGACTATTCAATTTACTGTCACATAGAATTTGGTCTGGTGAGCGTACAGAGATATACCAATTTACTCCAGCTGTTATCTGACCCATTATTTCAATGTCAATATACAAGCAGAATCTATTTATTATAGGTTTGGCTACAGAATAAGCAAACTGAATTAGCTACTAGACTATACATATATGGCTGCCATCTAAAGAAATCATACTCCCACAGCTAATGTAGTTTACATCAATCTTAAATGGTCACATTAACTGTCTAGTTCTGGGCCCTGTCTACCAAGAAACTGTAAGGAATAGTTTCATTTCATGACATTGAAAATGCTGAGATTTTGAGTTAATGAGGTGCTTAACAGCACCTATTATCTTCTTTTTCAGAGTGGGAAAAAAATCAACAACAATATTGTTCTGGCTGAATCCTGAATGTTACCAATTGTTTTTTAATTCTCAATCAGATTAGGAGAAATTGGGAGTGTGCAGATAACAGTCTACAAAACAAAGCCATCCCACTCACCTGAGGATAAAACCTACTGTTAAAGCAAAAATAAGAGGTTGTCACTCAGGGGAGCTATTACTCAAGAAACCATCTCCCATTGCTGCCAGTCCCATCAGATATAGCATCCCAGGCCTAACTTCATTCTTAGAAGACTCGTCAGGATGTCTCTGACCCATCTACTCTAGTGTTATTTGGATCTGTGCACATTGTGAAAGATACTTTACACCTAGGTAGAGTATGGAGGAGCCACTGATCTGTTTAACAGAACTCCCTGCAGTAACATGCTGCGCTCAGCTGTTCATACAAGACAGCAACCTTTGAGACGAGAGTTTGTGACCTCTACTGAGAAGGCAGTAACTCTTTCCAGGAAATTTTCATGGGGCAGTTTGGAGCAGTTGCTAAATTTCTCACCAAAATCGTATTGAATAGTCTCCTGCCACCCAACTTGTTCTCATGTCATGAAAAGCTTAGTCATATTATTTCATATGTAAGCAAAATAGGGTATATGGTGCTACAGTAATATCTATTTGATAGCAGGAGTTTGGTCTTTGCCATTCAGCTAACGCTGAGGGATTAGCTCTGACTTACCTCAGAAACTCCACACAGAAATAACGATACAAGACGGTAAGTTTGAAGATCTTAACGTGAGATGCACATTTGGTATGGTGAAGGCTTATAATTCCTTCTGGATCTCTGAATGTTCTTCCATTTTAAGGTAGTCTGGTTGTAACATGACAACTTATTTTTAGAAGCATGTGAAAACTATTTGTCAAGCCTTTATGTTCAGATTGGTCAGCATGACTGTCTGAAAATTTGTTATGGCGTTCAATCTTCATTCTGTGCCAAACATAAGCAGCTTACAGAGTAGAACTACATTACACAACTATCGCCATGTTCTAGGTGGAATCTCAGATGCTCAGTAATCGGACAATAAGCCTTAAACAGTTTGGTCTATGAATACCTTAAGCATGGCTCTCTCTCACCTCAGTGAAGGAAATCAAGTGGAAGCTCTGGAGCATGCTATCATGCGCACATGACTCTCTCCAGCCATCAATTAAAGCCTTTTTGTCAAAGTTACATAAAAAATGTAGAAGAGCATCAGGAAAGACCTATAAGACCAAAAGAATAAAAAGATGGAAGATATTTTGCAGCTTTGCAAGACATTAAACATACACTTAGGTAGTGTACATTCTGCTAGATTATGTTAAAAACACACATTCTATAAATTATTAGCACTGGGTAAATCAAGTCTAGAATGGAAAGAATAACAGAAATACACACTTATGCAATTCACATACAGAATTAATATACTTGCTGCAAACGAACATTGTTTTTTAAAACAACTATCTGGACCTTTAAAAGGAGAAAACATTTTTCTTCTTTCCCACATTTACCATTATTTAATGGTATAGAGCCAATAACCTATAGCAAGAATGCTTGAACTGGCATAAAGACATTTAAAACATGGGGCCTCAAAAAGGGCATTTATATAAAGCAGCAGGTCCCTGATCTTGGCTCTTGCTAAGTGCCAGCGTGGGCAGCAACTCACCTCATATAGACAGACGGTGTTGCTGATTAGCTACACCTTGTCACATTCAGCACCAGTATTTCTGAGTTCATACTGTTTTTTTCTAGTGGAATACTTAATGTTTCCCTTATCGATAGGTTCTTCCCTCACTTCTGCTCAATCATTTATAATATTAGCAGACAACTGAATAAAGCACTTGCACTCTGACACCAGTAGTCACTTTTGACATTTCCTGTCAGCAGTTACAACTGAGACTTTGCCTACCTCACTTGCTGCCCCAGATGACTTCATGATAAACGCTCAGCATCTGAAATACAATCTGTCTTAAGGCTTATTAATTTTTTTGAAAACTGACTGAATTGGGAAGACAAAAAGCATTTGAGTTTGATACTGTAGAAAGGAAATAGCCACACTATGTTTCCTTAAATTTAAGATGTGGATGCCCTCTGGTGAGTTCCTTGTGTAAGAGTACACATGAACTGTCAGCAAATGAGAAAAAAGTCCGCTGGAGCAGATGTGTTTCTAAGCAACTAATGAAGCATAGCTCTACTTTATCTAAAGGTGCTATTTAGAGTATTTTTCTAATGAGGACTATTAAGAATTATAAACCTGATGAACATGGGATCAAGAAAGGGGCTTTGGAGTGAGAATGCTTTATTTTTGTCAACTTTTAAGTGTCTAATATATTATCAAGCATAGGAGAAACAGAAGCTGAATGAGCAGTTAGATACTGTTGTGTAACTCAGCTACTATGACAAATGAATCGACTCAAGTTTATTCTTGCAGTTATTTATAGACTGAGCTCATGTTACAGTTCTAGCCACAAGAATTTCAGATTTATCGTTCTGAGAGCCTTATGTTGCCATATTATTGAATAGCATTTAAATTTCAAAAGGGCTCGGAGAACCAGGTTGTTTTTTGTTGTGGGTAGTACGGGCAAAGTGGGAAAACAGATGTCACGGATCAGAACAGTAGTTCTTTTTTAACTAAAGCGGAAAAGGAGAAGAGAATATTATTGATGAGAGACGGAGTGCATTTTTGCATTTAATGAAACCAACCTCCCATGAATTACTGAATAAACGTTTAAAAGACAAATCTGAGACATCAAACTACTCACTTTCTAGCAATGAAGTACTGAGAAATACTACCAACAACAATGTAGTCTTTAAATTCTGCATGCTGTCTAGCATGGGATACGTTCAGTGGCACATCACATCCTCTTTTCTACAGACTCCCCCTTCCCCCAACATTTGCATTTAACAAGTATGTTTATTGAAGTTTTTGGAAAACCTGAATAAGCACTTATGCTACTGACTAGTTAATAAAAAATTGTACAAAAGTACGGTTTATTGAAAATTGAAAAAAATGAAGTAGGTGTTATCATATTACAACAAACTCATGAACAGACAGGAGAGAGGAGCCTTAAAATCATAAGTCCACAAAAGCTTTTCTTTTATTAAAATAACACCAAATTTAAGAAACTGATGCAGTGCAATGGAATTTCAACTCATACAAAAAAAATTAGTGAACTTCAATCCTTCAGTATGGAAAGTGCATTCCAGTCCCGACACGATTGACATAATACAGAAATACCATATCCAAGACACTGTCAAAGTTAAAGACTGGCATGTTGGGCAAGGAAGGTTCTTATTCTTTGTAAGAGTTCTTTCTTTACACTGTCCGGTACCAAGGCTGAAACAAATAAGCAAGTAAGTAAAAAAGACAAAACAGAAAAGATAGCCAAAATGAACTTTTTGCAACAGCTACTTATATTCCAATTTGTTCTTGCAATTCTGTTAATACCTAAGGTAACCAAAGCTACTTGATTTTAAAAAATATATATTTAACACTTTTTTTCCCCTACTTAAAAGAGGCTAAAATTGAAGTTTATTGGGTTCCATTGTTGTGAATCAAGGCAGGTTTTTACCTGACCATAACCAAGAAATTTAAGCCTTTAGGGGAAAGGCTTAATCAATAGGAAATAAATCACCAGAAATTAGTTTGATTAACCTGAGTACCTTTTTCTTCACAAGTTTAAAAGCAAAAATATCTCAGCCATGACCTCACGATGAGAATCTTCAGCAAGTTATTTTGAAGGTCTATTTCTATTTAAGAGTTAATGAGGTTTCTCCCACTAGCAGCAAAGCTTCTTAGAGACTCCAAGTAGAACTGTATATATAAAGAAAATCCTAATATTTCCTAAAGAGATTCCACGCGTCTGTGTGTGTGTGTGTGTGTGTGTGTGAGAGAGAGGGAGAGAGAGAGAGTGAGGGAGGGGGGGAGGGAGAGAGAGAGAGAGCGAGCGAGCGAGCGCGTGAGCACGCATGCGCGCGAGCATGCATGCGCATGTGTTCTGCCCTTTGCTTTTCCCAGTAGCCGTTACACTACTACCCTGTTAGTTCAGGTTTCCGTCTAAGAAACTGTTGGAATTTAAAAACATCTCTGCTACATACCCAAGGCAATGTTATTTCACTGACATAAGTTTTCCTGGGACTATTGAGTTAATTATAAATATGAAGATAGGCTCATATGATTAAATAAAGTAACCTCTAAAAGTATTTTATACACAAAAGTCAGTACAAAAAGAATGGCTGTTACACAATACAAATTTACACATTTTGTTTCCAGTTAATATCAACCTATTAACACTTTTCCTTCACATACAACAAAAGCTAGTTCACAGTGCTGCTTCAAAACAATCTTGAAATATAGGTAGGTATGTTTGTTAATGCATAATCACAGTCCCTTTTGCATTCGATTTTCTTACCTCTGCCTTTGGGAGTGATTTCTGCCACCAAATCATCGACAGTAACATGCTCCAATCCTTTTTCTTTAATTACATCTAAAGAAGGACAAGACAGACATTTGGAAGACTTTTAGTCCATTAATTAAAAGACACAACCGGTGCCAATGATTAAGATAAGAAGCCTGCATGCATAGGTCATCGGAGAAGACAAGCATGCGATCTAAAATTACGTTAACTCATTATCTACTTCATATTACATTGGATTTAGTCTCCCTTTCATTCTATAGGTTTAAGAATGTGAACCTATCCCTACTGATGCATCTCAGCCAGCTCATATTTTAAAAATCTAATGTTCCAAAGTATAAGTTTATCTGAATATTACCAAACTTGTGTATTACTGGAAGCGTTGTACTAGTTTGCAAGTTGGTCTGCGCACATCTCTGAACAAATTGTTCCAGTCGCATCTCTCTTCCTTAATGTTGTGTATACAAGACTCCAATTTAACATTCAGCAAAGGACAGCACAAGAGCTGTAAATACTTATCTTCCTAATTGGTTTAAACAAAATCTCTATCCATATTTCAGCAAAGAAAAAGCAAATCTGAGACAGGTAAAAACCTATTACAAAATATAAAAGCTATGATAAATACTGTGTGATTAATACATTCTAGTATTTGTTCAAATAAATTATCTACCTATGAAACTTGAAGACTCCTGAAAATGCAAAAGTCAATGCTGAAAAGAGTCTTGAATTCAGCAGCATAGTTCTAGAACTATGTTCTTTAAACATGAAAGTTTTAACTACATGTCAATAGGTAAAAAGTCTGAAGAATCCTAGCCCTTAAGACACCAAAATCTGCTTCACCAACTAACCTCACATGTTTGAACACTGTTTTTTCGTGGCTCAATTCCCTGTAAAAGCTCATAATATATTGCTTAATTATTGGCCCTAGTCCACAATTGCAAGAGGATGTAGATGGAAATACCAAAGAAACTAACTCCCCCTTCTATTGAAGGTTATCATGCCCTTAACAGGAACAACTAATCCGATATTTACCTTCTCAGCAGCTGCAACTACAAATATTAGTATAGAACCAGCAATTTCAAATAACTTCACCATAACTGATTACTAAACTGTACTAGTTAAGGCCAGATAAACATTTATTTCACTATCCATACTATCACGATACATAATCCCTAGCAGAGGCATCAGGCAGAAAACCGCAAGAATTAATCATTTTAGCCTTCTTTGTAAATCCACCTATGATTATAATTTAACACTCTTAGGTCTACAAAATGAAAAACATACTAATTGAATATTGAGTTATCAGGCACAATAGATCTAATCAAAACAAAAGGCAAAAACTCAAGGGATTTTTTGTCTGTTTTAAGGAAAGTACTATTGATAAAATAAATAAATAGTTTCTTGCAATTTACAGATCTGTCAACCGTAGTAATGATAAACAGTTAATTCAGCATGAAAGACTTCAGGTTGTTTTCTCTCATCTAGGTAGATTATCTTATTTTCATGAAGTGTATTCAAAAGGAGGAATACAAAGGCACTTTTCTTTCTCGCTCTCATATGCGGGTGATGCAGTTCTTGTAAATTGTTTACCACAGCCTGTTTTCTCTCAATTTCCTTTTTCTCATCGCTATTCTCCTGGGATTAGGAATTCCCCAAAACAAAAAGCTGTATCACTATTGATACCTAGGGAACCAACGCCAATACTTTTCTCAGAAGGCTAATGAGTTTCAGAACAGAGAAGAAGTACGAGAATTTCAAGGCAAGCAGAAGATAGTAAGATGCTTTCTTACGTCTTAGATCAATTGCCAAGGATACTTTCCTCTTGCCTAACTCTTGATAAGATTGACCACTAGGCAGTGAAGCTTTCATCTGGGACGTCTGGCTGGAACCTTAGTTGATTACAAAGGACATTAGCTGGATGACTACCATTACCTTTGCAATGTGCCTTCAACTGATCCTTCCAGCCACATTCAATTAACTTGGCTCTCAGCAACTCTTTAAGGCTGTTAAGAGAAAAAATTGAATTCTTACTAGCAGAAGCAAACATTCCTAACTTAAAAATGCATCAGTATGAAAATTAAATCTAGAACTACTGCTCATAGGTGGCTGACCAGACCAGCAGCAGAAATGGCCGAACAGCATGTGACTCCTATCCTGAATGGATCCTACAAATTTCAGTTAATTTTACCATGTTGGACCATAAAGAGGTCTTGGCTCAGGAGCTCATTCACAGTACTTCCTTAGGCAGCTTTCCTGCTACAGCCACGGAAAAAAGGTAGAAACATAAGGAAACACTTCAGCTCCCTGAGTCAAGTCTGCTGCTAAATGTGTGTCAGCTTCCAAAGTTAGAACATTTCACTTGAAATCAGGTCTTCAAAATAAATAAAGTTTGCCACACCAAAAAAGGTCTCTGTACTACATATGTCTTTAACCATAGGTCTGTCTGCCCAGTTACACTTTGTCTCACGCTGGGTGAAGAAGAGGGGACTGCTATATCCTGGAATAACATAGTAAGAATAAGAGAAATCGCAATGCACATAGTACAATTTAGAATTTAGAATTAAATAAAAATCTAGAGTTAAATTTATTTAAGCTTTACTTCCAGATATCATTCACGTTTGATAACAATTAGAGTGTCTTACAGGGATAGCAGGAAGTGCACTTACCGTTCTCGCTCTCCTGTTTCTATCAGTTTTTGGTTAATGGTTGCTCTCATCTGGGCATCTTTATTCATTTTGCAAGTCGAGGTTTTCACAGATCTGTACAAAGCAGGAGCAACAACATTAGTAGTACTTGCAACTGAAATAAAACAATGAAGAATACACAGAATTAAGTTGTCATTTACACATTAATGGCAGGGAAACCAAAAGGAGCATCAGTACGTGAAGATTTCAAGCGAAGAGCATGCAGACAGCAGCATTAAAGTTGTGTTCATTTCGCTGACTTAAGAGGTCAGTAACCAGCTTGGTTGCTGCCGCGGACGGCGAGAGCGATGGCGAGGGCAGAGGCAAAGCCTCAGGCCGAGCCAGGCGCGGCTT